CCCCCCCCCCCCCCCCCAAATAGGACCCATCCACAGATCCGAACCGTGGCCCAGACGCCCCGCTCCTAGACCACAGCTGCCACCGCCTTCCAACTCGCTACAACGGAGACCTTGCCCTGGTGATGCTGAACGGCGGCCTGGGCATGGTTCGGACGAAGAACGCCATGCCGGAGGAGTGGTGGCGGCAGCGAAGGGCTAGGGTGGTGCGGTTCGAGTTTGCGGGCCTTCGGCCGTGGATGTGGTTCGCGTCGCCGTTTCTGCCGTTCGTATCCACGTGGGAGAGCACGCACTTGAGGTGGGTGTGTCGGCCAGGCTGGGTTACCTTCAAGTAGCCCCTTGTTGTTTCCTCCTACCTTGTTTTGCCGTTGGCAATGGGGTGGTGGCGCACAGGAGTCTTTCCATGGACGAATGATGTTCATTTGCTATACATAACAAGTACTAGCTGCAATACCCTCCCAAGATTCAGGACCGCAATGTCGTTGTTGGTGTAGATGCGGTGGCAGGACTTGCTACCTTGTCGTTGCCTACGATGCTCTGGCGCTTGGTAACGTTCGTAGATTGGCACCGCTTTGTCCACACTCCTGCTGCCCATGAAAGCGCACGCGTGGACAATGTCGCCGAGATAGAAATGGAAGAGAGGAGAAGCCGAGAATCTCGTAGTCTTTTCACGAGCTCAGATGCACACTTGCATCATCATCCTTCACGGTCAGCCTTGTGGCCTATTTTGAGACCCTCGTCTACGCGCGACTCACGCCGGACCGCTCGTGATGCCTACGGTGACTCCCGAGAAGTTTGTTGACACACCAACCACACATCAACCTTGTCTCGCCTGCGTGCCCCCTCCCCTGCAGAGCAAAACCGGGCGATCCAACGCCCAGCGTGTTCTGGGTGGTGCTGGTGTGGTTGGCGTTCGTGGTGGCTTTCCTCTTCTGTGGGCGTACCGTGCTCGTTCCCGTTGTTTCCGCCGGGATTTCCAAAGCGGAAGTACCTTCCAAGTGCGCGGGGGGTTGGCGAGCGTGGGTGCCACGGTGAGAGGAAGGGGGGGAGAGCCCGGCCTGCGTAGGCGGTGGCATGCTCGGGCCCTCCGGCGGCACGTCTTGTGACGTTTCGTTCACGTCTTGTGACGGTTGGCGCCGGTTTGTACCGGTGGGGCGCCTTTTGCATGGGGTACAGCGTGCGCTGCGTGAGGGAGGTTGGGTGATCTCAAGGGACAAGTATTAAATATGACACCTACGTGACGTTGTCAATTACGATGTGTAGTGTTGGCCATTAGGTGGCCTAGGCTGCCTCAGCTCAACTTCAGAAGAGAGTATCGAATTTGCGCAGTGAGGTTGACATGCGGCCTTTTTTTTTGCCGTTGATCCTCGAGTTAGAATTCTGCAGTAATAACAGAGTATTCTACCTCGAAGGTGAAAGGCAAGAGCAAGGCCATAGGTTATACTCACTACCCAAATCCGTTGTTCGCTTCTGAAGTTGAGTTACGGGTGGTTAGGCCATGTTGTGACCAATAACAGATTTCCCTTGCTGTTGAACAGGAATGGGCCCGGCTGGTGTGATGTGCCAAGCATGCAGATACACAGGAAGTTGTGCATACGGCGCCACTGTAGCTGGGCCGAAAAACCATACGCATACGCACACACGGTAGCCGTCGCTGGCTACTGCCACCGGTGGGGCGGGGTCCCTGGAGCGGGTCTTGTTTTTGCGGACGGGTGCGACTCGTGCGCCCACTGGTCTCGATGATTACCCTCCACCAACTCGGATGTGTGCCCTCCCTCCCCCCCGTCCCGTCCCCGGTGTTTCCCATCGGGGTTGGGTTTTCGTCGCTTGGCAACGACGTTGTAAAACAAGCCAATTCACTTCGTGAACTCGGCAACCAGGTTACCGTTTTTTTTTTCCTCCGTTTTTTTTTTTGGCGGTAACCATAATGGTGGTCGAGTAGATCATGTTGTGCGGGGTCGAGAACCCTCACTACGCGCAAGGGGGATGATCGCACCACGTTGTGTTAAAATGGTCAAGCACCCTCGAGGCAGTTACACAGTGCTTACAACTGTCTCTGGAAGTGAAAGCACCAGAAAGTAAATTAAGTCATACGCAGCTGTCATCCGTACGCAAGGAAGTAAGCACAAGATGCCGAACACCCTTAGCAGGATGCAGCGCACCCTTCATGCGACTCGCCGAATATCTCACGGCGCTTCGCGCTTGGTGATGTGAGAGCCTGGTCCGGTGAGAACCCGGCGTGCTCCGTCCCGGCTTTGTAGGGATGCGAGGTCAATGGTCTAACGACTACGGCATGCACGACTATGAGTACCCCCCCCCCCCCCCCCTGCGTCCTTGTGCCATGGTACCCCCTCGTTGCATAAGGGCGCTAGCATGGAAAAGGAAGCGGCGAGGGAGTTCGGCAAGCAGCTACAACCCTCGAGGGTTGCTGTGGAGCCTTGTTCATCTCGCGGTCGGATACTCGTCGCTCTTGTGCGCTGTCGCGGTTGGCCTAGCCCAGGTCCCTGCTGCCTCTACCGTAAAGTGAGTATAGAGCGTAGAACGGGATTACGGTTCCCCCGTTTTTTTTTGCAAGGATATGCATACCTCTGTGTCCAAGGCTGTTTTCTTGTTTTGCGGTGGGTGGGCCTCACACTCTCTGTGTGCGTTACTGCATACATCTCCTTTTGCCTCTGGATTCTAATGCAGCATCGCACGGACTTGTTCGCGCTCCCGTTTTTTCTCATTGTTTTTCCAAGCACAACATATCTCTGCCAGTAGCTGGATTAGGGGTGGGTAGACCACACGTTTTCATGCATTTCCTACATCTATCGCTTTTTCGCCTCTCGTCAGTCTTACCCAAGCACCAAATGAAAGTAAAAAAAAAGCAAACGATGAAAAGAGGACCGACCGACTTGCTACGCCGGATGTGAAACTTAAACGGAACTGTTCCGCGGGAGCTGTGCAGCACGTCTGCGCAACCTTAACCCGCGACCCTTTCTTGTGTTCTCATGCCGTGGCGACATCTTCTTCGTCTGCTTCGACAATGACGTTGGCAACGACATCATTATCGAAACGCGAGTAGGATGAGCTGGATGGTGTTCATCACGTGGACCGGAACTCTGTTCGGGACGCTGTGGTCCGCTTACCTCTGGTTCATCTCCCGCCAGCCACAGCTGTCCCCCCGCGCCTTTATGATCGGCAACGGCCCCCTCGACCTCCCCAACATCAACACCAACCTATGCCCGTTGCCCGGCGGCGGCGGCGGCGGCAGCAACAGCAGCACGGACCCCTTCAAATCGAAACTGGCCGGCGGAGGCTCCGCGGCAGGGAGCGTTCTCAAGGTAGGGTGTGTGGTCACGCCGTCCCCCTGGCGGGAGAGCGTGACAAGCCTGGCGTTGTTCGTGGCGGTGTTGGCGTTCCTTCCGGCGTGGAAGCCGATGTCTGGGGCGGCGAGCCTGCCCACCTTGCTGGTGCCGGCGGCTGTTGCCCTTGTTGTGATGTTCGTAGGGTTGACGGTGCAGATGGTCCGGCTCCCCGTGCTGTGGTGCGACCGGCTGAAGTTCTTGGCGCTCATGGAGAAGAAAGGGCTGCGACCGTGTGGTAGCTGTGGTAGGGTGGAGTGCTAATCATCGGTGTCTGCGTGTTGTCTGCTGTGAAGCGCCAGGAGGTGGGTGTTTGAAACATTCTGTATCTGCTGCCAGGTTTGTGTGGGCCTTTATTGATTGGGCGGTCGTGCAGTGCTTGGTAATGTCGAGGGTAGGTAGCTGTCTGTCATACGTGTTGATACCTTCTACTGGGTCGCCTTTTGTCCCCCTCTTTTGTACAAACGATGTGTGCTGAATTTCCGGCAGCAGTCTAGTCGCTGTTGTTCTGTTTTGGTGCTGTAGGCCGCCTCCTGTAGGCTGTCTGGTGTTTGCTGGCGTAGGTGACTTCAATCGGAGGCTTGTTGTTTCTTGTATTTTCATGGGTGGTCGTTTGAAACCGTTCCTGGCTGGGGCAAAGCATAAGAGGAACGAAATGTGTTGTTCGCCTTGTTTTGCGCAGGGAGAATTTGCGGGAGAATTTGCCAGTGTTTTTTGTTTTTGTTTGGGCAAAAACATTGGCTCTACCCCCGTCACAATTCTCTAGCCCCTGTCAGGATGTTTGTGCTGTACAGGGCGCGCCCTCTCGATCCTGTGTGTGTGCCGTCATCCTTTTAGCAGCAGCAGCAGCTTTCCTGCAAGGGTTAATGATCAGCGTGTACGCCGAGGAGGATGCAACAACAGCAATAGCAATGGGTATCCAGGTGCTAGGCGGGCGGTTCCACTGACCGTGTTGAAGGATTTTTACTGTAGATTTACAGAGTTCTGTGAAGGCGAGGGTCATTCTTTTTGGTCGTTTCTTCATGTGTATGACTATTGTTGTAGGGGCGGCAAGTATCTTGAACAAGTGAACCCGAAATCGTTGTGGATAGGACGCAGCAACAGGCTGATTCATTGACGCTCGTTACGCACTAGCCCTTGCAATGAGTTGCCAGGCTCAGCCCGCAATTCACGGCGTTAGGACTGAGTGCTGCCGCTCGAGTCGTAGTTCGGGTTTGTCGCGCGTCCCAGGGGCACGCACGAATGATTGGAAGGGTGGGTACCCGCCGCTTGTGTCGATCCCTTGGCTGTGAGAGTGCATGGTCTCATGTGCCTTTCTGTGGGACTGGCCTAGGGCTCATTTGCTCTGGTGCTGGTGTAGGTGAGAGAGCATCTCGTGTGGCAACCCAAGCCAAATTTGATGAGCACCTGAAGTGTCCCGAGCATCAGCGTCGAGTCGAGTGGGCGTCGAGTCGAAGCCCAGTCAAGCTTTCGTGTCTTTCGTTCGGCTACAGAGGGACAAGTTGACGGCGTGTGTTGTGTGTCTCCCTGTGTAGAACAATTCCGTGGTACGTTTTGTCGTGTTCACATTGCATACCGTCTTCGTGTGCCACAGGCGATGCGTATGTTTGTGGGATGAAAGAGGAGTTGCTGAGCACAGATAGGCAGACATTGCGTGGGCAATCTGCTCCTGGTGTCGTAGTCTCGAAAGTCCAGGTCGTACTGCACCTTCGTGAAGAGTTGTTGCCGAACAAAACACACACCCGACAGAGATATCTAGTTAGGAGTCTGCTCAGATGTGTTGTCGAACAGAGAGTCTCCACGCCATCGAGCTACAGATGAGGCGATTCACTAGAAGTAGAGGTGGCCCTTCTGGATGGGATGGGTGCGCTCAGAACATCTAGCGCCTGATTCGAGCCTTTTGACAATGATGACTAGCTCCAATGCTGTCGCGAGATGGTCGCGGAAGACACCTAGCTCTGCGACTTTGTCAACGAAGGCGTCCATTAGTTTACATCTTGCGCACCGGCTTGAAGTAGGCCGGTCACGTCATGCAAACATCGAACCGATCGGCCATCGGATAGTTGGCACGTGCCGCAAGTCGTGCGGGTTGACTACCTTGCCGTCACCAGGCAACCTGTCAACCCTCCAACATTGTCAATATCTTAAGGTTCCCGGTTGCTGCTGCGGTACCCGGAACGGAGGGTTGACACATGCATATTAACTAGCCACACACCACCTGACTATGCTTTACGTAGCATTGGGCTGGCAGCCAACGGCAATGATGGTCGCAGTAAGCAAACTATTGCATCATCCATGTACGGTAGGTAGGTCTAGATGGTGAAGGAAGCACTGATCGTGCGATGAGGAAAGCTTCGAGGCTCATGGCTGGTGGGGTGCCTCGGTCGCCACAGGCGAACTCGCAGGGCGATCGGGATCAGATCAACCGCTCGGGGCCCTCACGCTAGCTACTTATCGTCTATGCTGGTACCTATTCTCGTCATCGCAATTCCTCGCGTTGGTCCCTTCATTGCTTCCTGAATGCATTCGGGCGTCGTTTGGAGCGTGCAAAGTGGGGCAAAACGGACCACCGCTACTTGTGCTATCGCCGCTTCCGCCCCGCCTTCTGCTCGCGACGGGACCCGCCCTTCTCCAAGTCGAAGCCCGCCGCACGATTTAACGCTGCCTGCTTCGAACAAACCAGGAACACCGAGCGGGAGGCAAGGACAGCGCGCCCATCTTGTCGGTCAGGCGGAACACGGCGACGTTGTTGTCAGTACTAAAAAAAAAACTGCCAATGTATAGCCGCAGGAGCGAGCAGCAGCGAAGCGGGGCTACATGGCACGATAACGGCGACAAGAGTCGCTGTCAGGCTGACTCGTTTACGTGCGGTACCTCATGCATTTTTTTCTGGTCTGCCACTCGTCTTGCTTCAAACATACCCTCCCGCTATGTGTACCCCCCCGCAATCTAGACTTACGTGGGTTGGCGCTGTTGGCAAAGCGCTGTAAAGCACGCCACCCCAAATATAGCCCCCATAGTATGCGCTACCAAAGACGCGTGACGCATGGATGCGTGGAGTGAGGGTTGCTTACAAAAACCTCACAGGTTGAGTGATGTTGGAGTGCCGGACACATAGACGTGTTGCGTGATTAGCTGTATCCTGAATGAAACCCCACGGGTTGAGTGAGGTTTGAGANGCTACCAAAGACGCGTGACGCATGGATGCGTGGAGTGAGGGTTGCTTACAAAAACCTCACAGGTTGAGTGATGTTGGAGTGCCGGACACATAGACGTGTTGCGTGATTAGCTGTATCCTGAATGAAACCCCACGGGTTGAGTGATGTTGGATAGTGCCAGACACATATACGCCTTGAAACCTCACAGGTGATTTGTATTGGAGATTGCCGGACACCTAGACGTGCTGAGTGAGGATAGCTGCATACTGAAACCTCACAGATGCATTGGTTTTTGAGTTTGCCAGACACATAGACGCGTTGAGTGGGGATAGCTACATACTGAAACCTCACGAGTTGAGTGATGTTGGATAGTGCCAGACACATAGACGCTTTGAGGGAGGATATACACATATTGAACCTCACAGGATGATTTGCATTGGAGATTGCCGGACACCTAGGCGTGTTGAGTGAGGATAGCTACATACTGAAACCTCACGAGTTGAGTGATGTTGGATAGTGCCAGACACATAGACGCTTTGAGGGAGGATATACACATATTGAACCTCACAGGATGATTTGCATTGGAGATTGCCGGACACCTAGGCGTGTTGAGTGAGGATAGCTACATACTGAAACCTCACAAATGGATTGGTTGTTGAGTTTGCCAGACACATAGACGCGCTGGGTGGGGATAGCTACATAATGAACCCTCACGAGCTGAGTGATGTTGGATAGTGCCGGACACATATACGCTTTGAGTGAGGAAAGACACATACTGAAACCTCACAGGTGATTTGTATTGGAGATTGCCGGACACATAGACGTGTTGAGTGAGGATAGCTGCATACTGAAACCTCACAGATGGATTGGTTTTTGAGTTTGCCAGACACATAGACGCGCTGAGTGGGGATAGCTGCATATTGAAACCTCACAGATGGATTGGTTTTTGAGTTTGCCAGACACATAGACGCGCTGAGTGGGGATAGCTACATACTGAAACCTCACGAGTTGAGTGATGTTGGATAGTGCCAGACACATACAGTAGACGCTTTGAGTGAGGAAAGCTGCATATGAGACCTCACGGGTTGAGGGACGTCTGCGACTGCCGGACACGTAGACGCATTGAGTGACGAAAGCTGCATACGGAAAGCTCACAGGTTGACATTTGTATTGGAGATTGCCGGACACATAGACGCGTTGAGTAAGGATAGCTGTATACTGAAAATCCACAGTAGCTATACTGAGGGGACGTGCCAGACACAGTCTAGACGCGNAAGACACCCCAAAACTCTCCGGCGTGAGATCCAAAATGGATCGAACGGTAGAGGGGGAGGGGTGTTCGTTGCTTGAAGTGGATCGATAAAACATAGAGCCATCAAAGCAAAGCTTATTACTCACGTCGAGCAAGCTGAACGACC